TCAAGACCCCCTCGGGCGGGATGTCTGGGTAAGGAAATATCGGACCCCCTATGCAAGAGAAGATCTCCCATGAGGGGGAAGCTATGGTGATGATGGATGTGTGCTGAATGTAGAGTCATCGATCATTCTGGTGAAATGATGAAGCTCTCATTACCGAGTACAAATAATTATGATTGTGGATCCACCCCTCTGGTGACCATGCTGTTTTTCAATTGAAGTGACTCCTGGGGCTCGCACCCTGTTTTTTTATCAGGTCAAGTCACTCGGCTCCTCGCTGGAGCCTTGCTTGCGATTTCTTTCAGAATCGCGCTCTTGCGCTGGAATTGCAATCAATTTGCTCAAGCGCCGCGCTCCCGACAGTCAGGCACCCAGGAGTCGCTCTCACGCTTAGGACTCCCTCACAGCTTATTTCGGAATCGGGACCTCGCTGCCCTTTGTGGCCCCGTTGCAGCCCCTCGTGGCCCACTCGCTGCCCTTCGTGGCCCCGTTGCAGGCCTTCGTGGCCCCCTCGCTGCCCTTCGTAGCCCCGTCGCAGGCCTTCGTGGCTCCCTCTCTGCCCTTCGTGGCCCTGTTGCAGGCCTTCGTGGCCCCATCGGTGCCCTTCAAGGCCCCGTCGCAGGCCTTCGTGGCCCACTCGCTAAGCTTCGTGTCCCCGTTACTGCCCTTCGTGGCCCCCTCGCTGCCCTTCGTGGCCCCATTGCAGGCCTTCGTGGCCCCCTCGCTGCCCTTCGTGGCCCCGTTGCAGGCCTTCGTGACCCCCTCGCTCCACTTCGTGGCCCCGTTGCAGGCCTTCGTGGCCCCCTTCCTGCCCTTCGTGGCCCCGTTGCAGGCTTTCGTGCCCACTCGCTGCCCTTCGTGGCCCCGTTGTAGGCCTTCGTTGCCCCCTCGCTGCCATTCGTGGCCCCGTTGCAGGCCTTCGTGGCCCCCTTGCTACCCTTCGTGGCCCCGTTGCAGGCCTTCGTGGCCCACTCGGTGCACGTCGTGGCCCCGTTACTGCCCTTCGTGGCCCCCTCGCTGCCCTTCGTGGCCCCGTTGCAGGCCTTCGTGGCCCCCTCGCTGCCCTTCGTGGCCCCATGCATGTATGACCGTCGTGGCCCCCGCTCGTCCGCGCCATTCCTGGCCCCATGCGCATGCCCTTCGTGGCCCCGCTGTCGCCCGTTGTGGCTCCCTTCCTGCCCTTCGTGGCCTCGCTGTCGCTCTCGCTCTCGCTCTCGCTTTCGCTCGTCGTCGTCGTTGTCGTCGTCGTCGCCGCCGCCGCCGCCGCCGTCGCCGCCGCCGCCGTCGTCGTCGTCGTCGTCGTCGTCGTCGTCGTCGTCGTCGTCGTCGTCGTGGTCGGTCCCCTGTCCGTCCCTCTTGGGGTCGGGTTGCCACCGATCAGCGTTGCCACTGGCCAGGCCGACGGTCCGCGGCCGCCCCGTCGCTTGCCGGGGCCCGGCCTGCAGGGCAGAAATATATACCCCCAACAAAGTGGTACGGCCTGCGGACGGACGGCTCAATCGAGGACGAGTGGGTCGACGCGCCCGCCGCTGCCGCGCATTTGGCGCTGCCCGCGGCTGGTGCGCGGGTGCCCGCAGGTGCCGCCGTGGCGCCCTCCACTTCGTGAGTCGCCTGGAGCAGGGCTCGGCGGCGAGGGGGAGGGTGCCACACTGCCCGCGGAAGGTGCGCCTGCGGCGGCTGCTGCTGCTGGCGCGGAGGTGGAGAGCGCGGAGGACGAGGCCTCAGTCAAGGCCGCGCTGGCCTCGGCGTGGGTCAACACGCCTGTGGCCCGCGTGGCCGCTCTCCAGCCCCACTTCGTGGGCTGGCCCGTCGACCGCCTCTGCGCCTGGCTGGACCAGGCGGCGGAGGCACCCGGTGCCGGCGCCCGAGCGGGGGGGGGAGGCAGCGGAACGGTCGGCGATGGTGCGCTTTCCTTTGGAGGGAGAGCGCCGCCTGCACGTCCCCCCCCTCCCCGCACATGGAGTCCGCCCACGGGGCGCTCCAGCACGTCGCCCTCTGAGGCGACCGAACGGCGAGTTGCGCTGCTCGCGGTGGCGGGAAAGAGTCACTTTCCGCTCAGGTTGGGTCGAGGAGGAGGAGGAAGAAGACGAAGAGCAGGGCTGGTGGCTGCACCCTGTCAGAGCTTTCGGGTGCCCTGCCCCTTCTGCTTCGGATGGCCTGCCCCATTTCCTCCCGCTCCTGCTGCTCCAGCAGCGGCCACTGTTTCGCCCGTTCGTCTACCCCCCCCATATGCTCCCGCTTCTCCTCCCCCTGCACCTGCTTCCGCTCCTCCTCCTCGTCCTCCTCCTCCTCCTCCTCCTCCTCCTCCTGCTCCTTTTCCTATACGTCTCATCCCATTCAAACGGCATTTTTTGCCTGCTCTTTTTATTGCCCCCCTTTGACATTGCCGTATGGCTCGGGGGCGCAGGGGCCTGCAGCGCTCCCGTGCCCGTGTTATCCGCGTTGTATATTTCGTTGTATGTTTCTTGTGTGCGATATTGAAAGGGTGTCATTTCCGTCGAGATTATTTACGTGCTACTTGGGAGCGGAGCTCCCGCTCCCTTCCACGCTGCCGCCGTGGCCCGCGCGGCATTTCCTGCCTGCGCTGCCTCGACGACCGGCGTTCCACTTACGCGCCGCAGGACGCAACCATTCCGAGGACATAAACATCAAATTTTCCGTGTGAGCCATCGGTGCTGTCATCGCGTTGGGCCATTTTCTCCGTGTTCGCTCTCCTCGACACGTTCATCGTGGCAGGCGACGGCTTTTTAAGGACCGTCAGGGCGGGCGCCGCCCAACCGCCAGGAACGGAACGACTACGGGGGAGGCGCACGCCTGCCACTACGAGGACTTCGACGTCAAGGACAGCGCTCCCACGCGTCCACGTCTGGCACCCTCGCGGGCTGTCTCAAGCTATGTCTGAGCAGCTCGTGGGCCCAACGCCACCAATTCATTTGCTTGTAACTGTAACGTCCGACGCCAAACAGTTGCTTGACACAACGCTCACGTCTACGGCGTTGGCGAAAGGCCACGAGCTTCATGTGTCAATGTTGCAGGAGCCTTGGGATAAAGATGGCACCAGGCGCGACGCCTCCATTGCATTCGCCTGTTGGTGGAGTCGAGGGTTTCACAATCGAGTGGTCCGACGTTCATATCCACGGTGTTGGCGATGCGTCCCGAGCTTCTGGCCACTACGTTGCCAGAGCCAGGGGGCAGACGGGAAATGACGAACATGTCATGGATGTTTTGACGATTGTGTCGTTTGCACTCGGGGGCGGCGCAGCGAATCTGGGACGATCAGTCGTCGACATCCTGGAACATGACCGTCCACATTATTCGCGCACTTCCTTCTACCTGGCAGACGTGGTTCCCTACGCGGGTTCTTTTTGACAGTCGTACAGATGGCGGTGCTCAGTACAGTGACGACGTGACGCACGATGGGGATTCCCATGACTATGTTGTGGGATATTCCGACTGCCGACCGCACCCCAACCACATGACATACTACCATGCCCGATACGGTGACGGGGAACAGCGTATCCAGGGTATATACCCACGACGGCTTCGAGGCTCCCTGCCAGAGCAGCGCCGTTGGTGGGCACCCGGTCTCTAGCACATGCTCGGTGCGTGGAAAAGGGACTCCATTCCAGATGGAAGGCCATCGGAGTGGGCGTGGTTGCGGCAACCAGCTGCGTCGCTTGCAAGGATGCTGGTGGCGGTTGCGGCGACAACGTTCGACAGCTCCGCGCCTGGGGGCCCGAACGTCCATCTATTGGTGAACAAGCCTGAGCTCGGGTTCCCTTCAAGTTTTTCTTGTTTGAAAGAGCGGGCAGGTCGGGCCTGTGGGCTGACTGTCCGCGCCTGGCCGTGCGGGCGAGTCCGTTGCGCAGGTAAGCCGTTTCGACAGCATGAATGCGGCTGCATGCGCCCTCGCGACACTTGCTGCAGCTCCGCGTCAGACTTCCCATGGCGTGGGAGACTTTGCGCTCAACATGCTGGCGCACGTTGCCCTCCCCCCCGTATGACGTGCATTCCGACTGCGATGGCGCGGCCAGAACTGTCTGGAAAAGGGGGGGGCGAGGGCTGGGAGTAGAAACCTGCGTGCGTATTGTTGGGGCAAAGTTTGGGCCACGTTCCCGAGTGGGGACACGAACGCGTTCAACACCAAAGCTCGCTGCTGTTGAACCGACACATGTGCTGGCCTGAACACGGGGTGGAAGTTAGCAGCCAACAAGTCAGTTGACGAGGTGACGAATCTTGGCGCCGCATTGCATGGCGTCGACGCAATTGCTGACGCTCCGTGTTTCCCCACCAGCCCATCCAGAAACATATCGCCAGGCGACTCGCCGTGATCGAGGAAGTGTAGAAGCACGCGCGGTACTACTCGCAGTGGAAACGTTTTCTCGATGGTCTCTTGGAGCTATCTTGGGTCTCTGTTGGGGTCCTCGCGGAGCCATTTGGGGCACTCTTGGGGCCCTCCGTTTTTTACCTAACAGCGTTTGCTGATAGGTTTCTAGTAGGGTCAAAAGAGAGCATCATGACTCCTCAGAGGGGGTCTGGGCGGGTGCCGGGGAGGAGAACCGGGAATCGTTTTTCGCCAACAGTCACACACTTCGTGCTCTTCGACCTCCCAGAACTCCATTCCAGGGCCACATTCTGGAGAACCGGGAACAGAGCCGGCTTCGCTTTTCGCTAACAGTCACACACTTCGTGCTCTTCGACCTCCCAGAACTCCATTCCCGGGCCACATTCTGGAGAACCGGGAACAGAGCCGGCTTCGTTTTTCTTCAACAGTCACACACTTCGTGCTCTTCGACCTCCCAGAACTCATTCCCGGGCTACATTTTGAATGCCCGGAGCCAACTGTAGGCCACTTCGTGGTCTTCGAGTTCCCAGAACTCAATTCCCGGGCCACATTTTGGATGCCCGGAGCCAACTGTAGGCCACTTCGTGTTCTTCGATTTCCCAGAACTCCATTCCCGGGCCACATTTTGGATGCCCGGAGCAATCTGTAGGCCACTTCGTGCTTTCAAGTTCCCAGAATACAATTCCTGGGCATGATTTTGAATGCCCGGAGCCAACTGTAGGTCACTTCGTGTTCTTCTAGTTCCCAGAACTCCATTCCAGGCCACATTTTGAATGCTGAGGCAGGCTGATGCTGCGGCCGAGGCAGGCTGAGGCTGAGGCAGGCTGAGGCTGAGGCCGAGGCTGAAGGCAGACTGAGGCTGAGGCTGAAGCAGACTGAGGCTGGCTGAGGCAGGCTGAGGCTGAGGCTGAGGCAGGCTGATGCTGAGGCAGGCTGAGGCTGAGGCTGAGGCTGATGCAGGCTGAGGCTGAGGCAGGCTGAGGCTGAGGCCGAGGCTGAAGGCAGACTGAGGCTGAGGCTGAAGCAGGCTGAGGCTGAGGCTGAGGCAGGCTGAGGCTGAGGCAGGCTGAGGCTGAGGCTGAGGCAGGCTGAGGCTGAGGCTGTGACTGCGACTGCCGTTGCCGCTGCGACTGTCATCGCGAATGCGACTACGACTGCGAGAACAGCAGAATTCTACAACTGGATTTTCATCTGAATCTGAATGGGAATGCTTTCAGATATGCTTCTACATATCGCTGTTAGGTTGCTTTGCCGGGATAGTTGGAAAGCCTAGGGGCTCTCTTGGGGCACTTTGGGGGGGTCTGGAGGGTCTCTTGGGGCCGTGTCGGGTCCCATGGTTTAAACGGAGGGGGGTGATCAATTCAAGCCCCACCTTCGGAAACTCAGAATGTTTGCCTTGGATCCCTCCTGGGGCGCTCTTGGGGCGCTCTTGGGTGCTGGCGGGACTCTCTTGGGGCTCTCTTGGGCCCCCCCTGGGGTTCAATTGGGCCGTCTTGCGGCCATCTTGAAGCCTCAAGGGCCCATCGGAAGCGAAAAGGCGAGAAACCAACAAACATTGATTGCCCATGGGTTTTGAAGGATCCTGGCTTCTTGGGGGTATCATTAGAGGGTTCGGGGGGCACTTGGAACCGTCTTGGGGCCGTTTTGAGGCATGTGGGATGTGTGTCGGAGGTTCTCTTGAACCAGTTCGAGGTGTTTCGAGCCATCTTGGAGGCCATCTTGCGTTGTCAGAGGCCACCTTGGGGCCATCTTGGGCCATCTTGGACGCTCCAACTACCCCGTTCCCCCCCTTCCCACACCCAGGGTAATGGGGGTAGGGGGAGGGGTAAGCCCCCCCCCCGAGCAGGGGGAGAAGGGCGGTTGGAAAATAGATGACGAAGTTCGTTAACGCATCTACGCCCAGGGGGCCCGTGGGGTTTTCTACGAGCTCTGAACACAGGGCTGCAGGTCTGTGCGCGCGAAGTGGCCGCGTGAGCCGCGGAGGCCCACACGCTCAGCGCCAACATCCTTGGAGGGCGCTCCTCGAGGAGATGCGGCTGGCCCCGAGCAGGAACCTCCACGGGGTCCCGACGCAGAAGGGGTGGCGGAGTCGGGGTGTGGGGTCGGGCCTGGATGTGAGGAGTTCTCACATCTCTTTTTCGGGTGGGCGGAAGCATTCCCTCCTGCAGGCTGACGTCGATGATGTGCACCCATGATTTAGGTTAATCCTCTTCTGCCCGTGCTGCGGGGCTGTCAGCTCTGATGGGAAGCTCACGGAAGTCTTCCGTTATAATTGTAGCGGGCGCCGATGTGAATGGGGGGACCGAGCAGTTCAGGCGCATAAGGTTGGGCTCTTCCCCTGCAGGAAGGAGGTTCGAGAGCTGCGTCTCAGTCGACCTCACGTCGTGCTTCCCGAGGCCCCGGGGGGCCTTCAAGAGGAGGCCTCCGCCCAGTCAGTTCCACCGCCGCCGAGCCTGTCCCAGTCAATGTGGGGTGGGGGGATTGTAGAGGGAAGGATGTCGTGCTCCGAGCGTTCGGCTTCTCGGCCGACGATCGCCCACGAGGCCCTTGCTGGGTGTGACTTCGATTTCGACGAGTCCGATCACGAGGGGTTCGGGTAAACCTCTTCTTTGACCGACTTCCGGGCCAACCCAAGCCAAACCATGCCTCTCTTCCTCCTCCTCCTCCTCCTCTTCCTCCTCCTCCTCCTCCTCCAGCTCCTCCTCCTCCAGCTCCTCCTCCTCCAGCTCCTCCTCCTCCAGCTCCTCCTCCTCCAGCTCCTCTTCCAGCTCCTCCTCCAGCCGGCCCTCCTGCTGCTCCTCCTTCGTCGGCGTCGTCAGGCTGGGCGCTCCGACCTTTGCCCCCAAAGAAGGAGGAGGAGGAGGAGGAGGAGGAGGAGGAGGAGGAGGGGGAGGAGGAGGAGGAGAAGGAGGAGGAGGAGGAGGAGGATGGGGAGGGGGAGTAGGATGGTGAGGAGGGGGACGAGAAGGAGGAGGATGAGGAGGAGGAGGATGAGGCGGAGGAAGAGGAGGACTCCGAGCCGTTCGAGCCGCTTCTCGATTCCCGTGGTTCCACACGTCCCCATCGCCTTTCCCAACCTCTGGCGGCGGTGGCATGGCCGACCCGAGGGCACGAGGCGAGCGGGCACCGGAGGCGACTCGGTGCGAGCGGCGCGCCAG